TTAAGTCATGATAATCCCAAAAGCTCAACCCGTGCAAAAACCCATTGTGTATGATACAATAATGAAACACTTAAGGGAACCTTTGGTGCAGGAAAAAAAAATGTATCCAAGAAATTTTAATTTTTAAACATGATGAAAATATTCAGTTTACAATAATATTCAAAAATTAAAAATTTTAAAAAATTTAACTTTTTAAAAATTCTAAAAAATACCGGCTAAAAAGAAGACATGTTCATATGAATGTATATTTTATTGAAAGGTCACTTCTTGATATTTGAGCCACTTTCTTTTGATTCCTAACGACCCCACAATTGTTTAGTGCATTCGTCCTAGCTAGAGTTCCATTTGTGCGGCGGATGTCTATGTTACATGTAATAGACTCGAACGTGATATGTATTATGTACTACTACAATAGATGTAGAACCTGATTTAACCTTAAAACAACTCACATCTAGAATTCAATGGGAACAGGATATTTGTGCTTAAGGGCATGTTAATTAATTATGTAATATGTGCAGATTCCTGAGTCTATTGCCTAGCTAGTTGTCTAGTTTTGTGGTTCTATATAAATATGACAATTAATTATCAAAAGCTAGCTAGTTAATTAAAGAGTACAAAGAATAAAAGAAATATGCAAGACTATGACTAATTAAAAGGAGAATCTTCCAATGTCTCAAGTGCATATTTACTTATGTATATGTCGTTGTCAGCGCTCTGGTCATGTGCAAAGGGCTATAAGTCTTATTCTTATAGATCAGTTAGAATCTGTGATTAGTTTATGCAGCCAATTTCTATCAGCCGAAATTTCTTTTTCAAGGGTTTCAATTAGCATGCCAAATAGCGGCTAAGTTACAAGACGCGCACGCAGCGCCGAGTGACGGTGTAATGATATCACTCGTAAATAAATTCACCTATTACTCTTTAGTGTTAATACTTGTTTACTATTTTTTTTATTGATAATTAAATGTTACACATTTGACTGAAAAAGTAAGCTAACAGCAGGTTGTGCTGTATCTATGGATTTTGTTTTAAATCCTTTCGATAGCTACAAAGCACCGACACGACATTTTCATTCAAAAAATAAGTGTCAGACACATGTTGAATATGAACACGTTTTGATACATGTTCGATAGGCCGATCAATTTTTTGAGACACATTGATTATTTCGACATGCAAATTTCATTGTATCTAACAAAGTCAAAGGGCACATAAAAAAATTTAAAATATATTAATAAAATTATAATTTTAAAAATATTAAAAAACATTTAATATGAATTAAAAAAAAATTCACTCCAGACCTATACTCGTTCACCTTTGTGTTCTCATTCTTCCTCTTCCCTCTGCCATCGCTTCCTCTGCCATTGCTGCAGTATTGCTGTCGTCATTTGTGTTAATACATGTTGTACATGCATATCATGTGTGAATTGATTTTTCAATTCTAACAATTTCTATGAATATATAATGGGGTTGCATTTTCTCATGCAACATGAGAGCACCTTTTCTCCTACACACACAATCAAGTGGGCCCACTAGTTTAAATAAAAAAGGAAAATGAAAGAAAATATTAACACGGAAATCGAGCTCTCACTAACATGAGAGATGACTATTCCTACAACATGAGATTTATTTATCCCATATATAATAATGGAAATTTACTGATCATTATTATTTCTTACAAAAAAATTGACATTTTCACTGTAATTAATGAGGAAAGCCCAAATCCAAGCCCAGATAATAAAGGCCCACAACCTCAAGCTGATACACATAGCTTAACCAACTCAACTTCCAAGTCAGATGACAGTTGCATTATGCCAACTAACCATAACAGAACCAATGTAGTTTGTTAGAGATTACTTATTCATCAAAGCATGTATAAATATTATTTGTATAGTGTATTTTCATCATCGGTTGTATTCTGAACCTTCTGAGTGATGAAGATGTTCAAGTTCTTCCTTCATTTCAATAAGGTATCAGAGCAATAATTGCTCTGATACTTCGCTTCAGATCTCTGTTTTTTCTTCAGTTCTTCGTTTTTCATGGCTAATCAAGAATAGTTCCTGCTTTCATTACAAATCCCTCACATCCTTTCTTCCTCCATCCCAATGAGAATCCATCTCAAGTGCTCGTAAGTCCTGTCCTTAATGGTCGCAATTATCACTCATGGTCTCGATCCATGACCATGGCGCTACGGTCAAAGAACAAGTTAGGATTCTTCAACAACAGTGTGATGTTCCAGATGATGATGATCCGGAGTATCAAGCTTGGGATCGCTGCAACACCATAGTTTTGGGTTGGATACACAGATCCATCTCACAAACTATTGCTCAATCCATTTTATGGATTGAAAACGCATATGATGCATGGAATGATCTTCGCGATAGGTTTTCTCAGACAGATATGTTCAGGATAACAGATCTGCAAGAAGAGATTTGTAGATTGATGCAAGGTGAAAAATCAATTTCAAAATACTTTACTCATCTTAAAACTTTGTGTGACGAGTTGGACAATCTAAGGCCACTGCCATCTCTGGTAATTCCATGTGAATGTGGTGTAATTGCTCAAATGAGAACATTTCGTGATCAAGATCATACCATAAGATTTTTGAGAGGATTGAGTGAACAATATGCTCAAGTTTGTTCTCAAATTATGTTAATGGAGCCAATGCCAAATGTGGTTAAGGCTTTCTCCTTGGTGACTCAACAAGAACGACAATTTCGTTCAGAGGATCAACATAATCTTCCAGTTACTGTGCAAGCTATGGCAGTACACAGTGATTAAGGAAATTTTCATAGAGGAAATTTTGATTATGGACGTGGAGGTCGAAATTTCAGAGGACGTGGACGAGGCTTTTATGGTGGAAGAGGCTCTAGAAAGTTGTGCACTCACTGCAATCACACTAACCATACTATAAAGACTTGTTATCTTCTCCATGGTTTTCCACTTGGTTATAGAAGAAACATGATCAATAGTGCCTCAGTGAATCAAGAAAACAACATCAATGATCGAATGGCAACTCCTTCTATAAACATACTTCAAGATCAATACAAACAGATCCTGAATTTGTTACAAACCACTCCTGCTAATTCAGAATCTTGAAGTACTTCATCTATGCATACTGCTAATGCAGTGCTTGCATCTAACTCCATTTCTGAAAGCTCACAACCAGGTATCAATGTTGATGAATGGATCATCGACACAGGTGCTACAGATCACATCACCTTCACTACGTCTCAGTTTTCCTCTTTTCACGAAATTCAAGCAATTTCCATTTCTTTGCCTAATGGCAGTAATGTCATTACTTCAATTTCTGGCATTGTTCACATTATTTCCACTATTGTCTTAAACAATGTTTTCTATGTTCCTGATTTTCGTATCAATTTACTATCAGTTTCAAAACTTTTAAGCTCCAATTCTTACAACCTCATTTTTGACAAATTTCACTTTTTCATTCAATAGAAAAAATTCAACTACCAGGAGACGATTGGTTTTGCTGAGCATCGTGGAGAGTTGGATGTGGTACTCAGAAATAAAGGAGCTATGATTTTGAATCGTGATTCCACTGTTTCTCACCAAATGTTTCCTTTAGCAGTAATTGTAATTCCACACAGAGCAATAATAATGTAGTGTGTAATGCATCTCTGTTATGGCATCAACGTCTAGGCCATGTATCAAGAAAGGTTTCTCAATTTATGTCTTCATATTTTCTTTTCATTCCAAATGCTCATATCAAACCATATGATATATGTCAATTGGCAAAACAACAAAAATTTCCTTTTCCTTAAGTGAATCCAAAAGTACTACAATTTTTGCACTTCTCCATGCTGATATATGGGGTCCCTACTCTACAAGTTCGATTCATGGTCATAGATACTTCCTCACAGTTGTTGATGATTACTCAAGGTTTACTTGAATTTTCTTAATGAAATCTAAATCGGAGACAAGAAAGCAACTTCAGAATTTTATTGTGTTTGTTCAAAACCATTTCAATACAATAGTCAAAACTCTTCACACAGATAATGGACTTGAATTCATGATGGATGAATTTTGTGCATTACATGGAATTTTTCACCAACGCAACTGTGTTGAAACACCAGAACAAAATGGTAGAGTCAAAAAGAAGCACCAGCATATTATGAATGTGGCACGAGCCATCTCATTTCAAGCACACCTTCCAAGCAAATTATGGTGCTATGCAGTGACACATGTTGTCCATCTAATCAACAGAATCCACACCCCTATACTTGCCAATAAATCCCCTTACTCACTCTTATACAATCAACTCATATCCCTTATCCACCTTCGTGTGTTTGGATGCTTGGCATATGCATCCACTCTCACTAGCCAACGTACCAAATTCTCACCACGAGCTCGCAAAGCTATTTTCTTAAGATTTCAAGAAGGTATTAAAGGTTACATACTTTATGAAATGTCTTCTAATTCCATTTTCATCTCACGAAATGTCATTTTTCATAAGCACCATTTTCCTTTTGAACCTAAAGATCTCCTATCCAATACAAACCATTCACCCGAAACCATATTCTCTGAAACTCAACAACCAAATACCTTTGATCTTGACTATACCCTTGTTCATCCCTCAAACATTCAACCCATTTGTCCATAAGCCGAAATCCCAGAAACCCATGATACATCACAAAGACCAGAAGACACGGATGATTCATCAATTGTTGTTCCATCACCTATAGACTCATCAGTCATCACCACAACAGTTACTGCTCCATCAGCTGCTGATCCACGTAGATCATCACGAATCAGATCAACTCCTAGATACCTCATTGATTACCGCTGCAATCCCTCTTCAGCTGCTCACATCTCTCAATCACATCCAGGTAGTTCCATTTCACCCTCTGTCCTTTATCCATTGTCCAATGTACTATCATATTCTTCTTGTACACCATCATATAATTTTTTTTGTCTTAGCATCACTACACATACAAAACCAAATTCTTTTTCCCAAGCCATCACAGGAATTGAGGCAAGCTATGGATGCAGAATTGAATGCGTTGGCCAAGAATGATACTTGGACCATTGTTGACTTACCACCTGACAAAACACCCATAGGATGTAAGTGGGTATACAAGATCAAGTATCGTTCAAATGGTGAAATTGAGAGACACAAAGCCCGATTGGTAGCCAAAGGGTTTACACAACAAGAAGGGATTGTCTTTTTTGATACATTTTCACCAGTTGTCAAACTAACCTCTATTCGTGTTTTACTCAGTATTGCAGCTGCCAAGGGATGGATATTGGAGCAACTGGATGTAGATAACGCATTCCTTCACGATGACCTTAGTGAAGAAGTGTATATGAAGATCCCTCCAGGACTACATACATCCAAAACCAACTAGGCTTGTTGTCTTAATAAGTCCCTTTATGGACTCAAACAAGCGAGCCGCCAATGGTACAGTAAATTGTCTGAGGCTCTTCTGTCTCTTGGTTATACACAAGGAAATGCATATCACTATATGTTTACTAGAAAGATTGGATCTTCATTCACAGTACTTCTAGTCTAAGTAGATAATGTTGTACTCTCTGGCAATTCTCCATCTGAAATCACTCGAGTGAAAGCCTTTCTACATGAAAAATTCAAAATAAAGGATCTTGATCCTCTTCGCTATTTTTTGGGTCTTGAATTTTCTCGCACTTCACGTGGAACTCATCTCAACAACGCAAATATGCATTGGAGATTCTTTTTGATATGGGGATGCTTGCAACCAAGTCCAGTTCTACTCCAATGCTTGCAACCAACAGTCTCTCGCTCTTCTTCTGAAGCGGAGTATCGAGCTCTTGCCACTCTCACTTGTGAAATTCGATGGCTCCAACATTTATTTCACGATCTGCATATCCCATGGCTCAAACCAGCCTCTGTTTTCTGCGACAACAAATCTGCCATTTACCTTGCTCATAATCCAGTCTTCCACGAGCGCTCCAAACATATTGAAATCGATTGTCACATCACTCGCGAGAAACTTCAGCTGGGTCTTCTGCGACTTCTTCCAGTACCATCCTCTGATCAGTTGGCTGACATGTTTACCAAGTCTCTTCCTCCGGCAGCCTTTCACACAGCTCTCTTCAAGTTGGGCCTTATTAACATTCATGGTCCAACTTTTGGGGGGGGGGGGTTAATGAGGACAAGCCCAAATTCAAGACCAGATAATCAAGGCGCACAACCTCAAGCTGATACTAATAGATTTTGTGAAAGTTCAAGTTGATCGTATTCATTATACTGATGTCTATAAGTAGACTATGCTGTTACAACGAATTGAAACAAACTAATCTTATTTACAAAATTCAAAGTAAACCTATCAGCAAGCTAACAAACTAATCTTGCTGAGATATGATACATAGCTGTTGGAAATACAAAATTCAAACCAATCATATCTGCCAACAACAGCAACTGATATGGATAGATATGGTTGTTAACACTCCCCCTCAAGTTGGAGTGTGGAGGTCCAAAACACCCAACTTGCGTAACAAAAAATGGAACTGACTTTTTCCTAATGCCTTAGTAAAAATATCAGCTAGCTGAAGTTCCGAACGAACATGACGAGTGGAAATGTTGTTTGACATGATGTGCTCACGAATAAAATGACAATCAAGTTCAATGTGCTTCGTCCGTTCGTGGAAAACAGGGTTTGCAGCAATGTGCAACGCTGCCTGATTATCACAACAAAGAATCATAGAAGAGGAGTGGTCCACTCCAAGAGATTGGAGAAAATACTTAAGCCAAATAAGTTCAGCAGTGGTGGTGGACATAGCCCTGTATTCTGCCTCTGCAGAAGATCTGGAGACTGTGGGTTGTTTCTTTGTTTTCCAAGATATTGGGGAAGAGCCGAGCATAATAAAATAACCTGTCACTGACCGTCGAGAAATAGGACAAGACGCCCAATCTGAATCACAATAAGCTGTGAGCTGTAGATCATTGTCAGCACGTAAAAGTAACCATTGGCCTGGACTGGTCTTTATATAACGTAAAAGACGAATAACTGCATCATAATGAGCAATTTTTGGATGTTGCATAAATTGGGACAAAATATGAACCCCATAACTAATTTCTGGGCGGGTAATGGTGAGGTAAACCAAGCGGCCAATCATGCGACGATACCTGCATGGGTCTGGATAATCATCAGTGTCAGTAGTGGCAAGCTTGTGGTTAGGTTCAACAGGGAACGCGGCTGGTTTGCATGCCAAAAGACCAGCTTCTTGGAGGATATCAAGAGCATATTTACGTTGACTCATGAATATACCTGAAGGATTACGTGCGAACTCAATGCCAAGAAAATACTTAATGGGACCAAGATCTTTGATCTTAAAACAACTATGCAAATATGACTTGAGCTTAGAGATGGCAGAGGCATCGTTTCCAGCAAGTACAATATCATCCACGTAGATGAGGAGCGCAAGAAAGACATGATCACGCTGAATAGTGAACAGAGTGTAATCAGCCTTTGATTGAATGAAGCCATATGTTTTCAGAGCAGAGGACAACTTGGCAAACCAATTCCGAGGTGATTGTCGAAGACCATATAGTGACTTCGTCAAACGACAAACCTGGTGAGGTTGGTTAGTAGAGAAACCAGGTGGGGGTCGCATATAAACCTCCTCCGAAAGATCCCCATGCAAGAACGCATTGTTGACGTCCATCTGATGAATATGCCATTTCTTAGCAACAGCAACTGATAGGAAAGTTCGAACACTAGTCATCTTGGTAACAGGAGCGAAGGTCTCACCCACATCCTCGCCTTGAACCTGGTGATTTCCAGCAATTACCAAACGAGCCTTATAGCGTTCCAAGCTTCCATCAGACTTGTATTTAATTTTAAATACCCATTTACACGGAAGAGCCCGTTTGCCAGGAGGAAGAAAAGTTAATTGCCAAGTTTTGTTCTCTTCAAGGGCTAAGATTTCTTGTTTCATAGCATCACGCCAGTGTTGGTGTTGTACAGCTTGTTTGTAACTCGTGGGCTCCACACCTGCAGTAATAGCTGCTAGAAAAGATTGATGTTTGGGTGAAAATTTGGTGCAATGCACATAATTAGTAATAGGGTATAAAGTACCTGAAGAAGGAGAAGGTGTGACATTGCTAGTCGTGGGGTTATGTGTGTGAATAACATTGCATTCATAATCTTGCAAATAAGCAGGTGGCTTGCGTTCACGATGGCCACGCCCCAAATGAGTATGTGTATTTGCTGACGTAGTGCACTGTGGTGATGGAGTGGAGTCATGAGTATCGCAACTCCCCCTTACTGTGGAAGGATTAGAATCAATGTTTGGAGAAACTGGAAGAGTTGGGCTTGTTGGTGCTTCATGTAGAGAGGAGTCCATGGGTGGAGATGGAAGTGCTTCCACATAAGGAGAAGGAACCTCTGGATAATAGGGAAGAGCAGCAGGTAATATTGGACAAGTGGCTTGATCAGGTTGAAGTTCCTCTTTGGAAGTCACATAAGGCAATACATGTTCATAGAAGCGAACATCACGAGAAACAAAAGTCTTCCCAGAATCCAGATCACGAACTCGCCACCCTCTCTTACCCATAGGGTAGCCAACAAAAACACAGCGACGAGAACGAGACTCAAACTTATCCTTAGACTTAGGACGTTTCTGGGCATAACATAAGCAACCAATAATACGAAGATGGTCATAACACGGAGGGGAACCAAAAAGGAGCTCATACGGTGTCTTGCCTTGCAGAAGTTTAGTAGGGGTCCTATTTATAAGATGAGCAGCACTTAAAATACAGTCTCCCCAAAATTTAATTGGTAGATTGCTATGAAAACGAATGGCGCGAGCAACATTCAAGACATGGCAGTGCTTGCGTTCAACACGTGCATTCTGTTAGGGTGTATCAACACATGTCGTCTGATGAATAACTCCACGAGCAGTAAAGAAAGCCTGAAGAGTGTGATTAATGAACTCTGAGCCATTATCAGTTCGCACCATTTTAACAGACTTATTAAACTGAGTTTGCACCATAGTAAAAAATGATTTAATAAAATGAATACAATCACACTTCTCAGAAAGAAGATAAACCCAAACACCACGACAATAATCATCAACAATGGACAAAAAATAATGAGCGCCTTGAATGGAGGCAGTGGGGTATGGCCCACATAGATCGACATAAATCAAGTCAAAACAAGCAGTGCTTTTATTATTGCTTAAAGGAAAATTGTTGCGAGTTTGCTTTGCAAGATGGCAAGCATCACATACAAATTTATTTGAAATAGAAGCAAAAGACTCATGAACAAAAGGCAAATAACGGAGACACTGAGTAGATGGATGTCCCAAGCGTTGGTGCCAAGTCCTTGCAGAAGGTGCATAATGCGTAGCATAGGCCCTGAGCTGGTCTCTTGGACACACATAAACCCCATTAACAAGCTTAGCCAGACCAATCTCCTTCTTCGTCGTGAGGTCCTGCAAGGTACAAGTACGGTCAGTAAAAATAAGGTGGCCAGAATATTGTTGAAGGAGCTGTCCAACAGAGATGAGGTTACAAGTCAAGTTGGGAACATAAAGAACATTGGTAATAATTAGAGATGAATTTAGAAAGGCAGTGCCTTCTTTTACAGCATGAATTGTAGCACCATTTGGCAATCCAACAACTAAGGGTGTAATAGAATGAACATCAGTGAGGGCATTCAAGTCGCCTGTCATGTGGCGCGAGGCACCACTGTCCATTAACCAAAATGGTGGAGAAAATTTATTACCAGATAAGGATTCTGGAGAAGGAGTAGCAGGTTCCACGAGTGAGAGTAAACGCTGAACAATCTCAGGAGTGAGGGCAGAATATGCAGCAGCATCAGATGAGGATTGCTCTATAGAGTCAACAACGCAAGCAGCATTGACAGATGTAAGAGCAGGAGCAGGCTTACTTTTGTTACGGCCACGTCCAGGTAGTGATGAAGGATAGCCATGAAGAGCATAGCAACGACTAACATCGTGATTTGTCCTCCCACAATGAGTGCACCCTTTACGCTTGGTTGAGGCAGATTGATGTTGAGCCTGTGAAGCATGAGATGGTGAAGGCTTAGTATTAGCAGCAAAGCTTACCGAATCAGCTTGGTCAAGGTGAGAGCGAGCTAGGTTCTTATGCGTTTCTTCCTGGATCACCATTGCATACACTTTTTTCATCGAAGGCAAAGGTGAGGTGTTGAGGATTTGGGTCCTCAAATGACCAAAAGTGGATACATCAAGTCCCATTAAGAAGAGATAGATGCGCTCCCGTTCAGAATCCTGATGGATATGCTTTGTGGCAGGACATTGCTCACCATTGGAGCAGGCAGCAAAGGTTGTGCAATCTTCAAGCTCATCCCATATTGCACGCAAACGGGTGTAATATGTGCTCACT